ATCTTAAAACTCTCCTCTGTGCCACCCTTCTCTAGAATTCAAAGTACTTAACACATCACCTCATTAACATGCTATCATCTATATACAGGGAGAGGGAAAAGGGGTGTGCCTCCAGTTTACAGGTGAACCCAAAGTGGCACAAAGGGGTTAACCTCTAAAAGACCACTTTTTAAAAAATCTCTCCTGAGGTTTTTTTTTTTTTTTTTTTTTTTTTTTGGCTGTGCCAGGTCTTCGTTGCTGCATGGACTTTTCTCTAATTGTGACAAGCAGCAGCAACTCTCTAGTTGTGATGCACAGGCTTCTCATTCCATTGAATTCTCTTGTGGAGAACAGGCTCTAGGGAACATGGGCTTCAGTAGCTGCAACACGTGGGTTCAGTAATTGCAGCTCCCAGGCTCTAGAACACAGGCTCAGTAGTTGTGGCATAGGGGCTTAGTTGTTCCTCAGCATGTGGGAGCTTCCTAAACCAGGGATTGAACCCGTGTCTCTTGCATTGGCAGGTGGGCTCTTTACCACTGAGCCACCAGGGAAGCCCCCTCAGGATATAGGTTTAAATGCTTCTTCCTAACCTTGGCCACTTTCTTCCCCTGCCCAGGGCTCGGAAAGAACGGTACTTTGAATTCCCCTTGCTGGAGCGGTACCTAGCCTGTAAGCAGCGCTCACACTCACTAGTGGCCACCTACCTCCTAAGGAATTCCCTCTTGCTCCTCTTCACCTCCGCCACCTACCTGTACCTGGGCCACTTTCACCTGGACGTCTTCTTCCAAGAGGAATTCAGCTGTTCCATCAAGACAGGGCTGCTACATGATGAGACCCACATCCCCGACCTCATCACATGCAGGCTGACCTCTTTGTCTGTCTTCCAGATTGTCAGTCTCGCCAGCGTAGCCATCTACACCCTGTTGGTTCCAGTGATACTATACAACCTCACACGGCTCTGCCGGTGGGACAAACGGCTCCTTTCCATCTACGAGATGCTCCCAGCTTTTGATCTCCTCAGCAGAAAAATGCTGGGCTGTCCCATCAATGACCTCAATGTGATCCTTCTTTTCCTCCGAGCCAACATCTCTGAGCTCATCTCTTTTAGCTGGTTGAGTGTCCTTTGTGAGCTGAAGGACACAGCCACCCAGAAGCACAACATTGACACCATGGTTGATTTCATGACTTTACTGGCTGGCTTAGAACCCTCAAAACCTAAACATCTGACCCATGGGATGTGTGATGAAAATCCTTAGTTAAGAAACTGTGAAGCAAGAAGTCCTATGGAAAGTAAAAACCTCTCCCCTTTTTCACAAGCCTCTGCACTAATATACAAAAACACCCATGTTAGGATTGCTAAGCTTGGATTTAGCTGAGTCGAACATCCTGTATTATGCCATCCCAAAGATGAGAAGATAAAATCATCATATGGAAACATCTGAAAGTTGGAGCTGAAGAATAAAATATATATATATATATATTAGGTCTACAGCATAATATGAAGACAAGAAGAACACTGAAACTAGAAGTTTAGACATTGTAAAAAGGGAGAAAGTTCTATAGGCTATTCATGGAGGCAGGTTTTTCCCACTGTATTTACTCTATGGCCTTTTAGGATAAACAGTTTACCATGCTCTCCTTCAAAGTCTGCCCAGGGTCTCCTCCTTCAAGAAGCTATCCCCATCTCCACGCTCCTCCCCCAACTGAGTGTTGCCATATCGTCTGATACCTACCTCTGAGATAAAACTTACTACACTGTATTAATATAGCCCATGTACTTGTCTTTTCCACTTAAATAAGTTACCTAAAGTTTGTGTCATCATAGGCACTAATAAATAAATATTCTTCTGAATACATAAGGAACAAGAAGCTTTGGGAGATGTTTTTCCTGTAGTTGGCCTGAAGTTGGGAACAAATTGAACAAGAGGACTCTGATGCTTTGGAAAGCATAAAAGCTGCTAGAGAGTTCTATTCTTCTCTATCAGGAGAAATAACTGAAATGAATGAAGCTCTAGCGGAAAATCCACGGTGTGTCAACAAATTTTGTTATGAAGATGGTTGACTGATCAAGATGACACTTGGTAACCCTTCAGAACTAGATGAACTAAAGAGCAAAGAAGCATGTGAGAAATACATAGAATCTATTGGACTACACAGTCCACAGAGTCGCAGAGAGTCGGACACAACTGAGCGACTTTAACTTTCACTTTCACTTCACTGAGGAGTGAAACTGGAACCCTTAAACTAATTTGAAATGGAAAAAAAAGTCAAATATGGAAATAAATAATTATGTAAAATTATTACACCACAACTGGAATATTAAGCAGCCATCTAAAGTTACATTTATAAAGAAGTTGTAATAACACTACAAAATGACTATAACAGTGGTAAGTGAACAAAAGAGGAAATATTATATTATCATCTAACCTATGTAAATATGCATTAAAATATGAAACATAAAAATTACTACATATGAAATAAATAAGAACAAGGATGCATTGTATAACACAGGAAATCACAGCCATTATCTTGTAATAACTTTAAATGAAATATAATCTGCAAAAATACTGAATCACTATGCTGTACACCTGAAATTAATATATTGTAAATCAACTATACTTCAATTTAAAAAATTAAACATGTGTTAAGTGATTCATCTCGTGTAGCAGATGTATGAACTTTTAAAAATCTTTATATTTTCTGATTTTTGCATGAACTGTTTCATAAATCATAAGGAAGTATTTCTAATGAAAAATAAAATGTTAATGTAAATGCCACAGAAATCCATTGGCCAGAGAAGCTTGCAAACTAAGATAAATGACAGTACTTTCCTTCCCACTAGGTAGTATATATGTAATATACGCGGAGGAATAGTGAAAACAAAGTCAAATCATGAAGCCTGCAAGAAAAAAATACAGCTGAACATCAAATAAATCAGGCAGTTAGCAAATAAGGATTAAAAGAAGAAAAAGAAGAAAGAAAACTCTTCCTGTCAATTAGAACAATCTATTTTCAGGTTCCAAGGTAAAGTGCCAATCTATACTATGAAAGGTATGAGTATGGATAGTTGGTCGGCTGAAAGTATTCCTGGCAATTTCCGGACATGAATCCATAAGGCTGCCTTGAGTATGTTTGTAAAAGCACACTAGAAACATGAGGTCCAATGGGGCAGCTTACACTATGGATGGACATAAAGGACTCATAACCTTTCTCTCTGTGGGAAAGCCATTTTATCAGGACTCTTGCCACTATTCTTACAATTTCTAGAAACGAAGTACCTGGATTTTTTATCCTAAACCTCTTTTTTTGAACTGATCATAAGTTTCTTATTTAAGCTTCAGGTTTTTCTCCAGTAACTTACTGTTTTGACAGTGTACATATTTTTCTTAATTTCCATATACAATTCTAGAAATCTAAATTTTGACTATCAGTTCAGTTGCTCAGTCATGTCTGACTCTTTGCGACCCCATGAATCGCAGCACGCCAGGCCTCCCTGTCCATCACCAACACCCAGAGTTTATTCAAACTCAAGTTCATCAAGTCGGTGATACCATCCAGCCATCTCATCCTCTGCTGTCCCCTTCTCCTCCTGCCCCCAATCCCTCCCAGCATCAGGGTCTTTTCCAATGAGTCAACTCTTCACATGAGGTAGCCAAAGTATCTGAGTTTCAGTTTCAGCATCAATCCTTCCAATGAACATCCAGGACTGATCTCCTTTAGGATGGACTGGTTGGATCTCCTTGCAGTCCAAGGGACTCTCAAGAGTCTTCTCCAACACCACAGGTTAAAAGCATCAATTCTTTGGCACTCAGCTTTCTTTATAGTCCAACNGTGTCTCAAGAGGCAGGTTAGGTGGTCTGGTATTCCCATCTCTTTCAGAATTTTCCACAGTTCATTGTGATCCACACAATCAAAGGCTTTGGCATAGTCAATAAAGCAGAAATAGATGATTTTCTGAAACTCTCTTGCTTTTTCGATGATCCAGCGGATGTTGGCAATTTGATCTCTGGTTCCTCTGCCTTTTCTAAAACCAGCTTGAACATCTGAAAGTTCACGGTTTACATATTGCTGAAGCCTGGCTTGGAGAATTTTGGGCATTACTCTACTAGCATGTGAGATGAGTGCAATTGTGCGGTAGTTTGAGCATTCTTTGGGATTGCCTTTCTTTGGGATTGGAATGAAAACTGACCTTTTCCATATTTTGAGTATACACAACAGTAATTAGGTATCAGTACAGAATCTTTCAGTTTATAACTCTCTTTCACCTCATCATTCTAAAGCGCATACCTCGGTTTTGAGAAGCCTGGGACCCAGAGGCTCACTCTAGTTAGTGGCATGGCTGGGGGGAGAAAAAGAATACTGCAAGCCTTCTACCTTCCAACCCAGTACAGTTAACAATACCGCATTCTAAAGAACTGTCTATTCTACTTATTTGATGATATCAAGCAGATCTTGGTTACAGAGTTAGAGCTATGTAAGTTTAACCACAGAAACATACTTTCGGTTTCCTTACGCAAATATTTACAGAGTGCCTACTTAGTGCAAGCTCCTTATTAAAAGTGCCCGTTAAACCTTCCATCTTCCCTACTAATCTGAAAGCAGGGGACTTCTTTTTTCTATTCACCACTGTAATCCCAGTAAAATGATAGCGTAGTAGGCCCTCAGGAAACATCTATGCGAGCTGTATGAAGAAAAGAAGCAAAGACAACAGTAGTCCGCTTATGGCGCTCCAGCGCGTCGTACAATCGGGGAAGGCCAATCTAAGGAATGTGGAAGAGGTGCTGAAACACTTTGGGCTTACGAACCGTGTGTTTTTTGTGTGTTGGTCTTTAGCTCAAGAGTAACAAGCCTCAGCTAAACACACACATGTACACAAGGTCTCAAACGGTCGTTTCCAGCGGCTCTCCCTCTTCACCAGGTCCCGCCCTCCTCTCCGGCTCCGGAGCCGCGGATCCGCCCTGCGGAGACGGAACAGCTCCCAGCACCGGAAGTTACGTGAGGTTGACGCCGTGACGTAACCTCCGGTCGCGGCTGGCTTCCGAGGTAGACGCGGAAGTGCAGGAGGCGGCTGCTCTAGTCAGGCGCCTGGTGAACCTTCCAGAGAGGTCGGTTTTTAGAGGCCTGCTCCCGGGCCAGCCCAGACTAGACCAAGCCGGCGTTGAGGGCCGCTCCTCAGCGGAAGGGCTGATGCAGGCCGCGCCCTGGAGCCCCCATAGCGGGGCCGGACCATGAGTCTGCTGGGCAGCCTGGCCTCCTCGCCGCGAGACCCGCTGCAGTCCAGCAAGGCCAGGATGAAAAAGCTCCCGAAGAAGAGCCAGAACGAGAAGTACCGGCTCAAGTACCTGCGGCTGCGCAGAGCGGCCAAAGCCACGGTTTTTGTAAGTATGCCGCCGCTCGGGCCTTCTCCACTTTTAGCCTCTCCTAACTCCTGAAATCTTTCCCCGAACTGTTCCCCTTCCCAGAGTGGCAGTGTTAATAGAATGTTAGCTCTTCCAGGGTACATTACTTGTTAGCCTTGTGCGAATTAGGTAATTCCTGTAATTCTGTTTCCTCGTCTGCAAATGAGCGCTAACTACCTACCTTGCTGAGTTAATGAAGATTAAGTGAAGAAAGTTAAGGGGCCAGTACCTAGAAGATGTGTCAGTAAGCTTTAGTCATTATCGTTATTGCCACAGAATTCTTGGAAATGCCTTTGGTTCTCCAGAGAAACTTGAGAACTATGGCAGAGCCCTGACTCCCAACAAGTCAAACACCTGATTATAGTTTATTACTTCCATTACCGCAGCCTGTTTCCCACGCACTTCGCACACCCACAGCCGACCCCTTCCCTGAACAGGCACATGAAGCTTTCAATAGTCCCCGCTTTTATTGTAGATGCACCGGCTTTATTGAATGAATGAACTCTTTCTGGTTTGCCATCCACAACCCTTAGACGATATTGTGGCTTGCTCAAGCGCAGCTCAGTGCTTGGAGATAGCAAGTATCTCAAATGTCCTCCCACATGTGAATCAACACCTTACCTCTTCGCATACCAAAATTTGCTTAGCTTTTTTGGATGCACAGGGAAAGGTTTGGCAATAGAGCACTTATTCTGAGGACATTTATTTGGCACCTGCTGTGTGCACTGGAGAAAAGTAAGAAAAGCAGAATTAAAAGGATTTGGTGTCTAACTGATGTTGCCTTTCTTTTATCCCTAAATATCAGCGGTACCTAAAGCTTGGCACCTGTATTATTAGGCTATTGGTTCCATCAGACCCGTAAAGAAGGTTTTGTGAAGGAGAAAGGTATTGTTTTGATCGTTCAGCATTTGAGGTCCCGACTGTGGACCATCCAGATTGAAACGGACTCCTCAGGACTCATGTTTGGGAGCTCAGTGGCGCCATCAGTAAAGAAAGATGATGCTTGAATACATGTAAATAGGTTATGAAGTTTAAAATTTTATAGACTAGACTTGATTTTATTCCATCCAGATTTTTTCTCTTTAAGGTTCATTACTGCATGGTTTGCTTTGGGTTAGGTTGGATTTATAAGCTCCCTAAGAGTCAAGGCACTTGGGAATGAGGACGATCCCCATGGTTATAAGGGTTGAGCTAAAGTATCGATAGATTTAAGCAGTATGGCCTTCTTGCTGCTGAAGTCTACCCTGATTAAGGTGACCGTATGTGTTGATCTTCCTGGGACAACCCTACTTTGCCGTATTATTCTGGCAAAATTATTACTAACTCCCCCTTTTCACTCAGAGGTGGTGCAGTTTCCAAATTACTACTGTGCCCATAGTAGAAGTTGGCCCTGCCTTTACTTACAGGTTTGTTTACAGTTTGTCTGCAGTGTAGACTGGCTCTTCTCCCTACCAACACATACCTCTTTGGTTTAGAATATAGTTCCTCTTCTCAGCGTACTTTGATCTTTTATTCCTTTTGTGTGATTATATTCCAAATTTTTCTTCAAGGAAAATGCTGCTATTTGTGATGAAATTGCTCGTCTTGAAGAAAAATTTCTTAAAGCAAAAGAAGAGAGACGGTGAGCTGGGGTCACTTTGTGTTCAGAATCATATTTTTGGTGATTGATATGGTATTAGCACTCTTGGGGGTTTTTTCCTCTACCAAGATATTTGTACTTTGCACCGGCCACCAGTGTGATCCATCTTTCTGACAAAACCCTCTGACCACATCTAATAAGTAATCTTATTATAACTCTGCTACTATAAAAGCCAGGGAAGAAAAAAAAGCTGCATTTTTGCCTATAAATATTTATTCAGTATGTAGTACTCTTTGAGTGAGCAGCAGAACTTTACTTTTGTGACTGTGATCATCTCTGCATGTACTTCTGACTTCCTAGTGCTTGAATAAAATATGGACAGAATAATATATGAGCCAAAACAGAAGCTCATACCCCTGCTTCCTTTCTTCCCCAACCTCAGGTACTTGCTGAAGAAGCTCCTCCAGCTGCAGGCCCTAACTGAAGGGGACGTACAGGCTGCAGCTCCTTCCCACACCTCCAGTTTGCCCCTGACTTACAGTGTGGCCAGCTCTGTGGGAACCCTCCAGGGAGCTGGGCCGGTTTCTGGGCCAACCACTGGGGCTGAGGAACCATTTGGGAAGAAATCCAAGAAGGAGAAAAAAGAAAAAGGCAAAGAGAACAACAAACTGGAAGGTACCTTGGGGAGAGGATATCAGTTGTCCTGGTGGCTCAGCAACTAATGACAAGAACCTGGTCCTGACTGGTAGACACTCGGCCACAGAGATGATGTAAAGTCTCGCTGGTCCTTAAGCACCCCTGGTAAAAGCCCGTGAAAACCAAGTGTCTTCAAGCCACTCCGGGTAGAGTACTCACAGTGAGACCTGATTAAACGTAATGGGAGCAGTTCAGGGTCTCCCCCACTTCTCCTACACTCCCAGCTGTCTGGGAGCCTCCAGTTCAGTCTTTCCTAGAGGCAGGGAAATGGGCTCGGTGGCCTTTGAGCACACAGATGGCTTGGGAAATTGCTGATCTTATAAGTGAAGCCTTATATACAAAATATAAGGCTTTTAGGTCCTAAGCACTGATGCTGAAATTGGTTACAGCCAGGTGGGCGGGTTAGAAAGATGAACAGGGCTTTGAGGAAGAGCCCCATGTGCCCTTTCAGTGTGTGCGTGAAACCAGGATTGGCTCATTGCTCTTAGCATCGTGTAAGTTTTTTCCCTTCCCCTCAGCATTGGGAGGGGCCTAAAGTGGGTGACCCCAGATTTGCGTTTCAGTTCTGAAGAAAACATCCAAGAAAAAGAAAATGGAGGCAGGTGCTCGCAAGCCGGTTCAGCCCATTGCCCTGGACCCCTCAGGACGGCCTGTGTTCCCCATCGGACTAGGGGGCCTAACAGTGTATAGCCTGGGGGAGGTGAGTGAGCCCAGCAACCAAGAGAAAGGAGAAGCAGAGATTCGGGAGTGGGGTTGAGCCTTCCCTCCCTGTTCCCATTAGCAGCAGTCCCTTGCTGATCCAGAGCAACCCCTGAAAACCTCCAGTCCCTAGGAAAGCAGATTGTTTTCATCGGCTACACATCCTGCGCTCTGTCTCTCTGATCTGAGTCACTCTTTGCAGCCCCAAGGTGGTTCTAGAGGCTTCCACAGTACCCTGGGTTTTTCGGTTCTCCGGCGACCTCAGTGGCAAGTTGGGGGGAATCTTTTCTTTTCTAGATCATCACCGACCGACCTGGCTTCCATGACGAGACTGCCATCTACCCCGTGGGCTACTGCAGCACTCGGGTCTATGCCAGCATGAGGAGTCCAGACCAGGAGTGCCTGTACACCTGTCAGATAAAGGATGGTGGCACGCAGCCTCAGGTACCCGCCCTAAGGATAACTGCTGGGGTTTGTTGGTTTTTCCCCCCTCTTTTTCTGAGCACCTTCTCTGTGACAGGCACTCTGCCAGTAACTGATGGAGCCAGGATGTGAACCTGCATCTGTGTGATTCCCCGACTGACACCCCTTCCCCCGAACCGTTCTGCTCCTCATGTTAGTGGTGACCATGTGAGGCCTGACCAAACTGCTCGTGTGTGAAATGTATGCTTACACTTGTGGAAGATTAGTGTGACACTCTGTCAGTTCAGGTGGAACTGAAATGGAGGCAGCAGAGAAACTACATATTCACTTTTGACTGCACATGCTCTTTTTCTTTTTTAATGTATTCATTTATGTTCAGCTGCACTGGGTCTGCATTGCTGTGCGTGGCTTCTCATTGTTGTGGCTTCTCTTCTTGAGGAGCACGGGCTCTAGGCATGCAGGCTCAATAGTTGTGGCCCATGGGCTTAGCTGCTGCACAGCATGTGAGATCTTCTGGGACCAGGGAGTGAGCCCGTGTCCCTTGCGTTGGTATGCAGACTCTTAACCACTGCGCATCCTCTCAGTACGTGGTTCAAGACGGTTCATTTTCCCACACCATGTCCTCTGATCCTTGGGGAAGATAGACTGTTGTCAGAGTTGCAGGCTTCGCTGTCTGATGATGTTGCAGATGGCTGGAAAATGGGGTGGAAGCTTTGAGCAGAAGCTGAGAGCCTGTCTGCCACTTGTGGATAATACTGCATCGCTCCTATCCATGTTAGAAGGCTCTTAAATGCAGCTGAGAGTTCTGATGACCTTGGCCATGCAGCATTTCTCTTTAGACAGTGTTCTAACAGACAGACTTGATGTTGTAGCAGTGTTTATAACAAATCTATGTATTTAAGGAAAATCTAATCAGAATCCTTATAGAATGTAAATGGCAACCAACAAGCCGGTCCTTAATTCCCTCTGAAAGTGTTAGTTGCTCAGTCGTGTCCGACTCTGCCATCCCATGAACAGTAGCCCACTAGGATCCTCTGTCCATGGGATTCTCCAGGCAAGAATACTGGAGTGGGTTGCCATTTCCAGAGGATCTTCCTAACCCAGGGATTGAACCTGGTTCTCTTGCATTGCAGGTGGATTCTTTACCATCTGAGCCACCAAGGGAGCCCTGAAAGACACATGCTAAAATATTTTTGAAAACACAGATTCTGTAGGGGTTTTTGTTTCTTTTATTAAGCCATTAGTCCATCCAGACAGAATTTTCAGGTACTTTGTGAGCTTTCATTTTTTTCCCTAACTGACATCAAGTGACACCTTTGAAGTGAAGTGAAGTGGGCTTTTCTTGTGGTTCAGCTGGTAAAGAATCTGCGTCTAGTGCGGGAGACGTGGTTTTGTTCCCTGGTTGGAAAGATCCCCTGGAGAAGGGAAAGGCTATCCAGTATTCTGGCCTAGAAAATTCCACAGACTGAGCTTTCATTTTTTTCCCTGACATCAAGTGACACCTTTAATGTATACTAAATACGTGTAATACTTTGTTGTGTTTCCAGAAAGTTCTATTTCATCTATTTGACTATAAATCCCAATGTGACTTTTACTTGCTTTAGCTTCATAGAATGTTCTATACTATAATATGTTAAAACATAGAACAATACTTTTATAGTCCTAGGGTGAGGTGAAAGGTTTTCTTTAGCAAGATGTGAAAAGTAGAAGCTATAATGGAAAATAGTAACAGTTTGACTATTAAAATTTCAAACACTTCTGAATGACAAAAACCACCATAATCAAAGTTAAAACTCAAGCAACAAACAAGAAGAAAACATACCACAGTGGATTAAAATCCAGATAGTGTTCTTGTAGTCTAAGATATAAAAACAATCAGATGAGAAAAGAAAAAAAAAAAAACAGGTATTTCACAGAAACAGTGCAGATGGTCGATGAGAGCAGACATCACTTGTAGTTAGGGAGATGAAAACAAAACAAAAAGATCTCATTTTTCTCATACTCAAATATCAGATAGATAATAGCAAATGTTGGCCAGTGTGGAGGAAAACAAGCACAAATGGCATTAGTAGGAGTGAAAATTGTAACGTTTCTTTTTTTGGAAGGCTGCTGGGGTAGTATCAACAATTTTAATGTGTGAATCTTTGATCCAGGATACTTCTAGATATTCTGGAATGTCTTAGAGAAATGCGCAAATGTGAACAGAAGAGTTACATATAACAGTATAATTGTGACATTATTTGCAATAGCAAGAATTTAAAAGTAGCCTAAATATCCATCAGTAGGAGAATGGTTAAAAATTAAGATATATCCACCTTGTGTAATATTATACAACAGTTAAAAGAATGAAGTAGAGAAAGATCCCAAGACCAAAATAATACATTTTAGGCTTTTAACTGTGCTTTGCTCAGATAGGATATATAAGTGTACACAAAATATAAAAGATTGGAATTGGCATGATCAATATCAAATAGAAGAGCAACCCTGAAATATTTGAAGATAATTGTTCACAGTTTTTTCATGAATTAGCTGAGAAATCAATATAAACCATCAGAATGTTAAATTTGCAACGTGTGTCATTGAAATAACAAAACCATTCTGACTGAAACTACTCACAAGATAATTTATTATTGACAAAATTGAAAGAGCTCTGAAATTTGACACAGGAAGATTGAATCAAATGAAATTATAACCACAGAAGAAAACTAACAGTAGTAGAAGCTACTCAGTAAGGTTTGTTTTGGAGTCTTACAAAAAAAATTATAAATGTACATAATTGTAAACATATATATACTATATATAAATATATATAGTGTGTATATGTGTGGGTGTATATATAGAGATATACAGAAAATAGATTAATCCTGTGTGGAATAATTTGATTAAACTTTGAAAGACTGGAAACTGCTTAATTGAACTTTATAGAAAACCAGTTGGTCATGGAATTTAACTGACTAAATATAGAACCTGTTACAGAAAAGAATTTAATTTTCTTTTTTTTGCCAGAAGTCTTTAAACAGTATAGAAAACTCAACTCATCAGGGAATTGTTGGCTAGATCGCACTTGTTACAAAATACTTTGCTGGCAAAAATTCCTCAGTATTAGTAGAATCTTGATCTAACAGTTTCTTTTTATAAACAATCAAGATATTTTACAAATAAAGTGAAATGGGGATTTGTAGTCAAAATGGCCTAGATCTCTTCCTAGATAATGTAAAATCAACATAAGATTATGTGGAGAACAATCTCATTTGTTTTAGAATATCTATATTTATAGCTTATAAATGTAAGTTAGTGGATAAGAAAGCATCTGGAAAGATAAGGAAAAATTAAGCATTGCCCTCTGGACAGTAGTTAAATAAAGGGTGTAGAATGGAACGGCTGAAAGCCTTCCTTTGTTTTATGGCTTGGAGTGTCTAACAGCCAAGACACTGTTAAACAAGAGGTGCACCTTGCTTCAGGTTCCAGAGTGAAGAGTAGCAGTAGCAGCAGTTTGACTCTGCCACCTTCTCTGTGAAGACTGGGCTCATTGCTCCTTATCTTTCTCAGTTTGAAATTGTTCCTGAAGACGACCCCCAGAATGCTATCATCAGCTCCTCCGCTGACGCCTGTCACGCCGAGCTGCTCAAGACCATCAGTGCGGCTATGTAAGTTGACCAGTAACTGGCAGGCAGGCTAGAAAGGTCAGTTGGGGTACAGTGAGACCTCCTCTCTTGCTTTTAATGAGTAGAGATCCCTTATTGCAGAGAAAGCTAGCCTGTGTCCTTGGCGTATCTTGGCAGCTACAGTCTCCAGACTCCAAGTCAGGAAAGACTACTCTGTGTGTTCATACTCATCTCTCAGCTCTCAAGCAAAAATTCTCTCTCTCCCATTTAGGGGGAAACTAATACCCAACCTGCATCCGTCTGGAGCTGACTTTTTTGGGTTTTCTCATCCAACCATCCACAACCTGATCCAGAGTTGTCCAGGAGCTCGGAAATGTGTCAAGTAAGTGGGATCAAATCCATTTCCTTGAAAGAAGTTCCATGATCCGTGGGCCAGGGACTAAACTGGTGGTCACTGCTCTGCTCATTCCTCTATTTATTGAGCTGCTTCTGTACCTAAGGCACAGTATTGTCTTCTGCGGCCTGTGGACAGTATCCCGCTGTCCTGGAGGTCTTATTTGTGTGCATCACGACAGCAAACGGATGGGGAAGTCCTGCAGAATAAGTGTCACTAGAGACGCCTGTCTGTGTGCTTTTCAATTTTGGTTAGTTGATATGTTTTTCAGATATATATGGGAGAGACCTAAATAAAAAAATACCTGATCCCTTTGGAGGGACGAAAGGATCGTTAACAGCCAAAAGATGACTCAATAATGTTCCCTGTGGTCCTGCAGTTACCAGTGGGTGAAGTTTGACGTGTGCAAACCTGGAGACAGCCCGCCACCACAAGAACAGCTAGAGAATGACATAGCTACAAGCTTTGAAGCCTTTCAGAGACATAGCTTCGATGAAGATCATAGTGATCCCATTCTACAAGGTATCTTTTTTATTTTTCCCTTCTGGTTTGCAAGTTGGCCATTTTTAAGCTGCCCTCTTCCTTCATCGCTGAGTATCCCACTGACCTGGGCAGTGAGTGACAAAGGCTTTCCCTGCTCCAGCCACAGGTAGCCCTAGTAGAAGTCTCAAGGCATGGCTGAGATCCTGGGGTGGCTCACCAGGAGCTTAGGGCAGCTCATTTTCTAAGCTAGATAAGTCCTCAGCAGAACTCTCAGGGGAAGTTTACTGTGGGAAACATCACATGTAGTGAGGAGATCCATGGCCTTGGTCCTGCCTATGCTCCATGGATTCCCCCCACAAATGAGTGGAGTGATCAGGGGATCCAGCATGGGAGTCATAGGGAGAGCTCTGGATGGGAAATGAGGGAAGAATTAACTTCTTTGTCTTTGCCTACTGTGCTCTGTAACCTTAGGCAAGTTACTTAATCTATTTCAGCCACAGTTTTCTTTTTTTTCTTTCTTTTTTTAACATTTTATTTTAGTTGATTTACACTGTTAATTTCTGCTGTGCAGCAGAGTGATTGTTATACATATATATTTTATATTCTTTTATGTTTTGTCGCTTGATATTGACTGTAGTTCCCTGTGCTATACACTCGGACCTTGTTTTTTATCCATCATGGATGGTTTTTTATCCATCCATCCACGAGATACCCATCCATCTTATTCATGTATATACTAGTCTGCATGTCTGGTCTACTAATCCCAAACTCCCAGTCCTTTCCCCTCCCTTGGCAGCCACAAGTCTGTTCTCTATGAGTCTGTTTTTGTTTTGTGGGTATGTTCATTTGTGTTGTATTTTATATTCCGCATTTAAGCAATATCATATGGTATTTGTCTTTCTCTTTCTGACTTCACTTTGTATAACCTCTGTCCATCATGTTGCTGCAAATGGCGTTATTTCATTTTTTTTTTAATTGCTGACCTATATCCCATTGTATGTATGTATGTGTATATATGTTTACATACCACGTCTTCATTCATTCATCTGTCAGTGACTTGGCTATTATGTTGCCATGAACATAGGGGTGCACATATCTTTTTGGATTAGAGTTTTGTCTGGGTATATGCTCAGGCGTGGGATTGCTGGATCATATTTATAACTCTAGTTTTTTGAGGAACCTCCATACTGTTTTCCACAGTGGTTGCACCAACTTACATTCTGTGAACAGTGTAGAAGGGTTCCTTTTTCCCCACACAGTCTCCAACATTTATTATTTTGTAGACTTTTTAATGATGACCATTCTGACCAATGTGAGGTGGTACCTCATTGTAGTTTTGATTTGCATTTCTGTAATAATTAGGGATGATGAGCATCTTTTTATGTGCCTATTAGACATTTGTATTTCATCTTTGGAGAAATGTCTGTTTAGAAGTTCTGCTCATTTTCAGTTGGGTTTTTTTTAATTGTATGAGCTCTTAGTATGTTTTCAAAACAAAACTATTGTCAGTCAAATCATTTGTAAATATTTTTTCCTAGTCCATAGGTTGTCTTTTCGTTTTATGGTTTCCTTTGCTGTGCAAAAACTTTTAAGTTTGATTGGATCCCATTTGTTTATTTTTGCTTTTATTTCTTATGCCTTGGGAGACTGACCTAAGAAAACATAAAACATACAATTTATGTCATATGTTTTGTCTGTGTTCTCTTCTAGGAGTTTTATGGTGTCGTGTTTTATATAAAATCTTTAAGCCATTTTGAGTTTATTTTTGTGTAGGGTGTGGGGTTGTGATTGATTTACATGTGGCTCTCCAGCTTTCCCAGCACCAATTGCTGTTATTTTAGCCAGTTTGTGTCATTGTAAAAGTAAACATCTGTCCTGTCTCATCAGACAAGGTCAGAATTGGGCTGACAGATGCGAAGGAGTTGAAAGAATTAAAAGGATATGTATGTGTCTGATCAAGCCAGTCTCCTAAGATTCCCAGGCAGCAGTGGAACTCAAGGAATTTTTTTCTCCAGGATCCTTGGACCTCCCGGAGCTTCAGCCCACAGCCTTTGTGTCTTCTTACCAACCCATGTTTCTGACCCATGAACCGTTGGTAGATGCTCACCTACAGCACCTGAAGTCTCCGTCGCCATGTAGCCCATCTCAGTCTTCCGACTGAAGTAAAAGGGATCGATACCACATCATTCTCATCAGGATGGGTATTTTAGCTTAAACTAAGTAACATTTAGATTATATAGAAGAAGGCAGCAACTCAGGAGTGAAGAAGATAGTAAATTAACAACATTTTGTCACAGAGGTTCCTATGGTGACAGCTTTCCTGGGAAAAACTTCAGCTGTTTTATTTTTAGTAATAAATTTCTGTTGACAGTTCTGCTTATTTTCATCTTGTTGTCATGATATAATCAGAATCTTACACCTTCTGACAACCCTCCGCCCTTACTCTGAGCCTGGGTCGTTGACTGTAAGTCTCAGCCCCTGCAGCTGCTTTATCTTCATGTTGGTGTGATCTGAATCAGATACTACTCTTCCCCAAGCTGGAAGGTCCAGTCCAAAGCCCACTGTTCTTTTTCACATTTCACAAGAGGATCCAAAAAGTCATCTCTAGCCTTGTCTACATCCCCTTTGTGGCTCCACTGAATACATTGAAGCCACACATTAACACAAATAACATGATTGGTTCCCATCCTCCATAACAGACTCACCCCATCAGTTCATTAGTCGTGTAATAACACTGCATTCTATATGAGAATTTTCTGGACTCCACTTAAAGCATTAAGGTAGAGGCTTACCCCATCACTGAAACCCAGCCAGTTCACCTCCATAGTACCTTGTGTGATGATTCACTGTCACCCAGCCAGGAACCAGGGCTGGCTGGAATGGAAGGAACCAGAGGAGGCCAGAGGTAGAAGGCTGGGGAAGGAGTGGTGAGAACTGAGTTGTCACTGTGCTACAGTCCATCGCCACTAACAGGGAGAAAACAAACGGGGCCTGGCACTTTATGGGACTGTACCTGGACAGCCGAGGGACGGATCAAATGCAGCCTTTAGTGCACATCACACTGGCCACCATAACGTATCAGAAGCTGAAGTGACTGTTAATTTTATGACTCTTAGTTATGGTCTTACAAGTTTGTATAACTTTTACAGTGCAAAAATATAATAAAATCTGGATAATAGCAAATCAGGGATAGAAAGGAGATCACTCAAAACTGTTGCATGTTTTCATTTTTCTTATTTCTCTGCATCAGATGCCAGAACCCATTTGCACTTAACACAGAAATGGTATCTGCTGCATAATCTATATTTTTCCATTCTCTCACAGCCCGAGTTATCACAAGTTCACAGTGAGCTTCATTTTAAGAAAGACATTAAAAAGAGTTTTTATAAGCTAGTGCATGAAGTGAAAGTCGCTCAGTCGTGTCTGACTCTTTGTGACCCCATGGACTATACAGTTCATGGAGTTCTCTAGGCCAGAATACTGGAGTGGGTAGCCTTTCCCTTACTCCAGGCGATCGTCCCAACCCAAGGATCGATCCCAGGTCTTCTGCATTGCAGGTGGATTCTTTACCAGCTGAGCCACAAGGGAAGCCCATAAGTTAGTGCATGGTTTACTTTAATAAGTATTCATTTGTAGCTTCCCTAGAAGCTCAACCTTGTTAGTTGTTTCAACTTTGGCAGTCAGTCAAGACCCACGTCTTTTTAAAATTAAGTTAGAAGACAACATACTGGAATGCATTGCATGTTGAAAGGTTGAATTCAACTATACTGTGTATATAGGTGTTTATCTCCCATTCACATGATGCACATGGGGATATATGATACAAAGTGTTTTTACTATGGATCATTGTTTTAAATAACTTGAAAAACACTGTCGTAGCTATACACCTAAAATTTTTTTCATCTATTGTTAAAGATTTAAGTTTGACAACATTCAATGTTGGTGAGAATAGGGCAGAAATACGGGACTCTGCCTTGGTGGGAATGTCAACAGTTGAATCCTTTGGAAGGGTTAAGCTGTAGGCATTAAAATGTTAAATGTATTTATCCTTAAACCTGTTGGTCCACATTAAGGACCCTAAGAGATTAAGTGCAGAATGACATTGACATGTAACAGTTATCACAGTATTAGTTTAAAACCCTCTATGTCCACTAATAGCAAATTGGTTAAAGTATGGGGCACCCACAAACTGAAGCAAATGAAATCTCTTTTCACTTTACCTAAGAAAGTTACTTTGTTAGAATAAGTCAAAAACACCAATTACAAAATAATATACCC